CAAGCTTGAAGGCGATATGGGTTCCCGATGCTGAGAGGTCGATTGTGTCGCAACATATGCACTGAGCAGTGGCTCAACATTCTTGTCGGACACTTCAGGATAACTGTGACCATAGTATACAGTCTGTGCCGTGAGAATAAACGTAGTCATCGTATACAAGACCGCCATATAAAACTGCGTCAGAAGAGTAGCCAGTTCGAGAATGCAACCGAAAAGACTGAAAAGATCACCGATAATCCAAGTAATCAAGAAACCGAGAGAGAGGCCTTCGACGGATTTCTTCTTGTGGTTGGTGATAATCTGAGGGATTTCAGGGACACCCCAGCTTAGTATACTGACCAACCCCAACGAAACTCGGTCTCTGGTGCTGCAAACGCAGTCGTCTAAGTAAACTTTGGTCCATTGCCAGCACTCGCCGCTCAGCCTGCTGCATGTCGCCATTATCACTGCCTTTGGTTCCCTTCCTCAACGAACTGTTACTTGAAATAAATGGGAATATATTGAAACTCTCTCTCCAACTACACCAATCTCTTAGCCTTGCATAGTCTGTTTAAATAAGTTGTTCTAAATCTTTCAAATAACTCCTATTTGAATTAGGTCTTCTAGTCATACAAGAATTAAAATCATTAATAAATATTTAAATTGTGTAATAAAATAATTAAATAATATTAGAAGAGATATATGAGAATTATAGTTACTTTATGTGATTAACTTGTATTTTATTTATTTATTTATTCTTAAAATAGTTTTTGATTTAATTATTTGATTTAATTTTTTTATTATAATTTCAGTTGTGATTCTAATAAGATGGGTTGAAGAAGTAATGCTTTAAAATTTATTTATTTTTGTTGCTTCCTCGGCATGATTTTGTCATGCTAATCTAAATAGACTCGTATAACGCTTTTGACTTTGGTGGGTGAGTCTTTTAACGGGGTTTTTCTGCATACAAAACCTCAAACTCGATACATGCTTAAGCGATATCAAGTTGTTTACCACTTCAATCAACCCATTGATTTTAAAATTCAATATTAAATCAAAGTGTGTGATAAATTAAAATAAATCTACATAAAGTTTAACAAAATCAATTTTATATTAGATTAGAAACTAAAAATAATGAAGTTAAGTTTACGTCAATTATTTTTTTCATTATTGAAACCCTAACGTAAATTACTTTACCATTTTCTATCATTCCATAAAAAAATTAAAAAAATATTAAAGTTGTAAAAAATACTTGATGTTAGCATTTTTTTTGCCCTCCCGATTCTTAAGGCTTCACCTTGATTAATTCGGACCGACCCGGATTACACATTTGGTTATGATGGATAAGTCTCGACCCGCTATGACAAAAACAAGAGAAACCATGACTCTCTCTTTCCTTTTTATGCCCCTATGTCGCCACACATAAGGGATCTAGGGGTGTAAAAGGGGATTCTACCAACTTGATCCAACATAGGATAATAAGCTCATGGACTTGGTTTTACTTCACCGTTGAGAAACAAAAAAAAGGCTTCCATCTCTAAGTTTAATTCAAAAGTAGCTCACTTCTTTTTGGGTGTGAAATAGTGTCAAACCAAAATACTCAACAAGCATTAACTCTCCTTGAAAAGGAGGTGATCCAGCCGCATCTTCCAATACAACTACCTTATTACGACTTCACTCCAGTCACTAGCCTTGCCTTTAGTATCCCCTCCTTGCTTTTAAGGTAACGACTTCGGGCATGACCAGCTCCCATAATGTGACTGGCGGTGTGTACAAGGCCAGGAACCGACCCGAGTCGTACATATTCACCTTGATGTTAACATTTTAATAAGAAAAAATATTTTTCTTTCAATTTTTTATGATCTAATAGAAAATATTAAGATAAACAACATCAATGTAACGACCTTGTTATTGTTTCATTATATTTGACTTAATATGATAAAAGAAACAAGTTCAAAGATCAAAAGAACAATAAAAAAGTAAGAGTTAAAATAACAAAACCGATAAAGTTGAGGGCTTAAAAGAATATTCTACCAAAAAAGTTCATCTATTAATAATAAAAAGGCACGACAAAAATTGATCATAATTTTTGAATAAATAATAATCTTTGTCACTATTTTTTAAGAATATTTTAATCTTAATATTTTATTTCGGAGTAAAATTGTTAAACAGTTAGGAGCAGAATCAGAAATTTATTAAGACGGAATTAAAGTATTTTTTATTTTTCATAAATACAATTATTTTTAATTGAGGGGGAATGGGATAATTTTTAAAAAAACATATATATATATATATATATTTTAATATTAATTAATACCTAAAAAAATTAACGGGCTCAAGGCTTCTCTTTACCCCCAATGAAATTATGTCAATGTAAACTGTCAATGTTTTAAAATAGATAATTTTTTTTAATTTTAAGATAAAATTTCGGAGGGTAAATGATGATATTAAGCTTAATAAAATTATCATTTATAATTTAATGAAAATTACATTAAGCTTAATGAATCCATATGTTAAGTAGGTCTAATTTTATTACAAAATCCTAATTTTTAGATAAGTTCAAATAAAATAATCCACAATTAGCCCCTCCAGGTGTTATTAGTTATTAGTTGACCCTATTTACATATGTAATGGAATAAGAGGAGGTAGGGTAATAGGCTGTCCCCAACGTTTGATTGAGAGTAACTTTCGTGAAAGACCTCCGACAATTATAAATTACCCATCATAAGACTCGATCCCACAACCACAAGACTAACATTGCCCCTCCATGTGTGTTATCTTCAAATAATAAGTTGTACAGCTTTGTGGGTAGTTCTGCGGTGCGACGCCTAAAAAACGGCTAATATACGGCGTGACCGGTTAAACAAGTAACCGGTTATGTTATATTATTTAACCGGAAATATTATAAAATACAATAACATATTAGGTAGCGCTTATATAATGTAATAGGTAACGCTTATATTGACCTATTTTATAAGTAAACCGGTATATTTATACCGATAACATTGCAAATTTACCTATTACATTTAATATGTTGAAAGTGTCTATACTTTTTATAAAAAAGATCGATATTTTTTTTAAAGTTATGTAATTTACGTTTCAATTTTTTAATAGTGTTTCATGTTTTCCACCTACAATATTAATTTAATAATTTCATTTGCACAAAAAATTATTTGATTGTTTTGATATTTTATAAAATAATATTTAGAATTTAAATTTAACAATATTAACCAAAGATAAAAATAAATATGTAATATATATGTTTATTGTTTTTAATTTAATAATAATATATACCGTAACGTAAAAAATAAATCATTAGACGCCTATAATTACTAAATTAATATATTAAAACTAACCTTAAATTAATGTTTTCCACAGTGAAAAAAGTATGAACACTTTTATAAAAAGGATAGATACTTTACAATATAAGCACTACCTATTACATTATATAAACGCTACCTATTATATTATATAAGCGCTACTTATTACATCATATTTTTACCTATTATATTGAAAGTATCTATACTTTTTATAAAAAGGATCGATATTTTTTTTAAAGTTATATAATTTATGTTTCAATTTTTTTTAATAGTGTTTCATGTTTTCCACCTACAATATTAATTTAATAATTTAATTTACACAAAAAATTATTTGATTGTTTTGATATTTTATAAAATATTATTTAAAATTTAAATTTAAATTTAACAATATTAACCAAAGATAATAATAAATATGTAATATATATGTTTATTGTTTTTAATTTAATAATAATATATACCGTAACGTAAAAAATAAATCATTAGACGCCTATAATTACTAAATTAATATCTTAAAACTAACCTTAAATTAATGTTTTCCACAGTGAAAAAAGTATGAACACTTTTATAAAAAGGATAGATACTTTACAATATAACCACTACCTATTACATTATATAAACGCTACATATTACATTATATAAGCGCTACCTATTACATCATATTTTTACTTATTATATTGAAAGTATCCATACTTTTTATAAAAAGGATCGATAATTTTTTTAAAGTTATGTAATTTATATTTCATTTATTTTTTAATAGTGTTTCATGTTTTCCACCTACAATATTAATTTAATAATTTCATTTACACAAAAAAATTATTTGATTGTTTTGATATTTTATAAAATATTATTTAGAATTTAAATTTACGAATATTAACCAAAGATAATAATAAATATGTAATATATATGTTTATTGTTTTTAATTTAATAATAATATATACCGTAACATAAAAAATAAATCATTAGACGCCTATAATTACTAAATTAATATCTTAAAACTAACCTTAAGTTAATGTTTTCCACAGTGAAAAAAGTATGTACACTTTTATAAAAATGATAGATACTTTACAATATAAGCACTACCTATTACATTATATAAACACTACCTATTACATTATATAAGCGCTACCTATTACATCATATTTTTACCTATTATATTGAAAGTGTTAATACTTTTTATAAAAAGGATCGATATTTTTTTAAAGTTATGTAATTTATGTTTCAATTTTTTTAATAGTGTTTCATGTTTTTCACTTACAATATTAATTTAATAATTTCATTTACACAAAAAAATATTTTATTGTTTTGATATTTTATAAAATATTATTTAGAATTTAAATTTAACAATATTAACCAAAGATAATAATAAATATGTAATATATATGTTTATTGTTTTTAATTTAATAATAATATATACCGTAACGTAAAAAATAAATCATTAGACGCCTATAATTACTAAGTTAATATCTTAAAACTCACTTAAAAGATAACCTTAAATTAATATTTTCCACAGTGAAAAAAATATAGACACTTTTATAAAAAGGATAGATACTTTACAATATAACATGTAAAAATATGACAAAATCTGTTTCATTATGACAACCGATAAAATTTACCTAATATGTTAAAATTATGGACACTTTTATAAAAAAGATAGATACTTATCGATATCTTTTAATATATCGATACAATCCCCGGTTTGTACCGATTAAAAACAAAACTGACTGCAGAGTCGCAGTAGAAAACGAAGCAGAAAATGGGAGTAGCTCGCTTCTCTCTTTTCAAGATCGCCTCCTCCCATTTACATCGCATGCACCATCCCTCCGCCCTCCGCCAGGTCTCCTCCGTTCTCTTAACGCCTTCACTTCTTCTAAATCCAAATCCTAAGGCAACTTCAGTAGTTCTTTTTTTTCTCTCTCTTTATTAATTACATCTTACTGTTTTATCAGATGAGTTTTGCTTCCGGCCTTCAAAATTCCACCATATTCCGGAGCCAGGGTCTCATAGGAGGCCAGTGGGTGGCTGCCCATGATGGAATTTGGAATTTCTTCAGGTTCAATCCTTCAACGGGGGAAATCATTGCCGATGTTCCCTTCATGGGCAGACGGGAGACGAATGATGCCATTTCTTCGGCATATCAAGCTTTTAACTGTACCTAACACTTCTACTCTTACTTTTCTCATTTATTTTATGTTATTTGGTTTGGGGTTTTTAGTTAAACTTCAGCCCGTCACGTGATATTGAAGAACTTGATGATTTACATCCCATATCTCTGATCTTTTCGCCACTAACTTGCTATTTTCCAAGTTGTTTAGGGTGATCTTTCTGCTGAGTGTTTCCTCTTGGCTTCGGGACTAATTACTTATTCTTTCTTTATAGTTTTTCACCGGATCATCTACTTATGGAATTGTAGCCTTTTCTGGTTTTTTACCTTTGTCCTTTAGTTTAATTTTGCAATTTGATTTTTGCTTTTGGAAGCAAGAAGGTGAGCTTGGATATAACAGCACATGAATACTGCAAAAATTTCTACTCCTTTGAATAATATAATGTTTGATCTTAGCTTACAATGGACCACTCGTATTTCAATAAATGTGCATTTTCGTTTAAACAACAGAATGTGTGGTTTGAGCTGGGGCCTTATTTTTATGGTCAGATGAAAGTTTTTGTGTGCCTCGATGTTATCATGTATACTATTGGATTGAAGTTGTTATCGTTTGGTGAATTTTGCTTGCAGAGGTTCAAAGTTTTTTTGGGCCTGAAACCTAGTTTAACTGATTATCCTCATTCCTTCTTTTTTTTCCTTGTCCTTTTCTTTTTCTCATCATAGCATGGAGTAAACTCACTGCTGCTGAAAGGAGCAAATATCTTAGAAAATGGTATTGCCTTGTCCTACTGTATCTTTTTAGGATACTTTCTATTCAAATTTGGAATGATCAACCATTTGATAAGAGCCGTGCTCTTTTTTCATTTTTATTTTTTGCGTGGTTTAACTTGAGATATTTTTGGTAAATGATTGTAGCTGATGGATGCGTAGAATCTGACATATATATTTTAAAATATTGGAGGATTCATTTTTTTTAGCATAGTTTGGGAGTTAAATCCTCTGCTTTTTAATCAAAATGGTCCAGATTGACAGGATATTTTGTAGCATGGAAAGTTAAATACTTTTCGTTTGTTGGACTGAACTAATCATTCTTGCATGTTTTTAGTATCAAATAATTTTTTTCTTTCTTTGAATGTTCTTCTAAAGGTACGATCTTATAATGTCCCACAAGGAAGAGCTTGGTCAACTAATAACATTAGAGCAAGGAAAACCTTTAAAAGAAGCCCTGGGTGAGGTATTCATTTGAAAGTTTAGTGTTATTACAACGGAACAACTGATTTTGACAGAAAGTTGTTTGTCATCTGTCAACTCTGATGCCAAGATTCAAATTATAGGTTAGTTATGGAGCCAGTTTTATTGAATTCTTCGCCGAGGAGGCCAAACAGGTCTATGGAGATATAATTCCGGCTACTCTAGCTGATCGTCGCTTATTTGTTTTAAAGCAGGTGAGGATAAATTCTTCTTTGTTTAAATCGCATATTGATTACTTGTACAAATTTAAAATAATTTCTTAGTTATGGTTTGATAGTGTCTTCTAAGGGAAATATGATATATTGACCATAATTTAAGGGGATAAATTTGTTGATATCATCGTTAAGAATTCAGTTTACATCTTGCAGTCTTGTGTCCGTACAAGGCAATATAAATTATGTTCCTTTTGTATTTAAAAGAAGAAACCAGCATATAAGAAAAAGGAGAAGAAAGACAAACATGAACTAAAGAAATGGGAGAAGTTAGATTACCTCAACTATCACAATTTCCTTTATAACCATGGAAGTAATTTGACTTCTGAAATTGCACAGCATTTGGTATCATATGCGAATGTCTTGGATGATCCTTTGAGATAAATTTTGGAAGTGTTTGGCATCACTTTTAATATCACTATGATGATGTAATTAACATGGTGATAAGATCACTTGTGATCTTGGATTACCAAGTTTGGTGCAATATTCTAAAACACTACTGATCTTAAATCTGTGCTTGCTATTGTATAGAATTAAAAAATCTCTGAATATAAAGCACCTAAAATAATCTTATTATAACAACAAGATTTCTTTTTATTGAATGAGCAGTTTTATATTAGAAGAATTCATTGATCTAAAGAAAATAAAGCCAGTTTTGGTGAGTAAGAATACAAAGTTATTGACATGTTCACATTTAATGGTCAAACAAATATAAAGATGGAAATTTGATTATAAAAAAGTAAAAAGAAAAATTGGAGAGTAATATATATTGCAGTGGGCACTACTTCGCACTTCCCAGGTAAATGTGTCTTAAAATTTTGAAGATCACTCTCCTTGGTGATTAACTCTTCATAGTCTTTGGGGATTTAGATCACCCCAAAGGGCCAGGTAAAAGTTGCCTAGGATTGCTGTTCCTGATGGCAAATCTCTCTGAATAGTCAGATGGATAGGTCATTCTTTTAGCTTGTGTGCATTCAAGAGAACCAGAATAGCATGCTCTAACCAGCAGGTGGCATCTTGATTCTGTCCCAACCTCATGCCAAGTCTAACAAACATTCTGTAGAGGAAGGCGTTATCAATAAACGATAATCTCATTCGCCAGCTTTCTGATCATAGATGTGATGTCATCATCCTATTTATACAAGACCTCTAATATCCAAAAGTTTGAGGAGCGATTCTCAGCTATAAACTTGATAGGTAAATAGAGGGGAATTCACACTGGAGAACGACTTTCCTGCTGCTTTAGTGTCTTCCCTTTTAAACTATTATTGTTATTATGTTGGCTTATAGAGAAGATGCAATAGAAACCAGTTATATTGGATTATTTTAGTGACTGGGTTTTGACAAAGCTTTAATATACTTCTTGGTGCAAACAGTTGATGTTTAGATTATTTATTTATTTTTAAAATTCCTGCAGTATTGCCTTAATTTCTCTTTGGCAGCCTGTAGGTGTTGTTGGTGCAATTACACCCTGGAACTTTCCCTTGGCAATGATCACTAGGAAGGTGGGTGCTATATATAGATTTTTTTTCCATATTACTTTCCATGCTGCTGAAGAACTAAAATGTTCCTCTTCATGGTTGTATCAGGTTGGCCCTGCCCTCGCTTGTGGCTGTACAGTGGTGGTAAAACCTTCTGAACTTACTCCCCTCACAGCTTTAGCAGCAGCTGAACTTGCCCTTCAAGCAGGAATTCCACCGGTAATTGTTTATGCATTATTACTTTTTACAAAGTTTTTTATTCAACAAGTTTATATTGCTTTGTCTTAGCATGTAACGTTAATTGGAAGCTTGTTCTGAAAATGGTAATTCAAAGCTTGATCTGAAAACCAATTGGATCATTAATTGATTTCTAAAATATCAGATGGATAGTTTCACACATACATACGTGTGTGTGTCATGCCCAGTGTTGTCATCTGATAATAACATTAACCTTTTGAAGTCAAGTCTGCCTTCTCATGTCTTGTTCTTAATTTAAATGTAGATTGATTTGGCAGTCTTGTATGCATGGACAACCTAGAGTTGAGGATACATGAACTTTTAGGCATCTATCATTGGTTAGTTATGGATAATGGAGATATAATAGTTGTGAGATTATCTAACACTTTATTATATATTTAATGGGGTTGATTGTAGCTTTTAGGCATCTCTGGATAGTAACAAAATGGTTAAGGAGCAAATCAGCCAGAACTTATATCCTGTTTTAATTTGCATCTGAACTTTTTCAACACATCTGTAAGTAAATGGTATGTTAATACTCGTCCAAATTGTTGAAATCAAAACATCCTGGTTTTATTTTTTATTTTATTTCTACTATATGCACTTGCTGCTGTTACTAGAACAAATTGGTGCCCCTGCTGCATTTCATTTCTTGGTCGTTTGGTTTGCTTCATTTATTTTTATGGGTTTCTACTTTTCAACCTTGCAGGGTGTTCTGAATGTGGTTATGGGGAATGCTTCTGATATTGGTGATGCTTTACTTGCAAGTCCTCAGGTCCTCTATCCTTAACGTGAAACTCAGTTATTGTCACATGACATCACAATTTATTTGCCTCTCGAAATGAAGGGGTGATAATTGACAGAATGTCATTCGTTCCTTTTTTTATTTCATATCCAGGTAAGAAAGATCACATTTACTGGCTCAACAGCGGTTGGGAAAAAGCTGATGGCAGGTGCTGCTGGGACTGTTAAAAGGGTATGGATATTCTGGGAAATGTATATATATATATATATGCTAAACCAGTATGATCATGCAGTTGACTGCTTGTATTCTGGATTGTTCTAGATATCGCTTGAACTTGGTGGTAATGCCCCATGCATTGTCTTTGATGATGCTGACCTGGATGTGGCAGTTAAAGGAGCTGTAAGTTTACACTTTGATATGTATTGACATCATTTCCATTCTCCTCATCCTAGATATTTCCTGAGTTCCACTTGTAACTAGGGGTGACAAATTTCCCCTATCCCAAAACTTTTTTAATTGGGGCGAGATAAGTCGGGTTTTTTGTTAAAAATTTTGGGGTTAGATTTGGGTGAAATCCACCCCATCCTGATATATTTACTAAAATAACCTTTTTCGTATTTTACAATTATTTTTATATAATATATTTAATGTTTTTTATTAACTTTTTTGGGGTTGGGACGGGTTTAGTTGGGGTTTTTGTTAAAATTTTGGGGCCAGGTTATGCTTTCACTATGTCAGGGCTGGTTGGGAAAAATTATGCTAAAATTGGGGTCGAGTTGGGATTACAAACTTTTGGGTTTGGTTGAGGCGGCCAAAAACCTGCCCCGCTTTTCCCTGTCACCATCCGTACTTGTAATTGGTTGTGAGGCTGCAGCTCCCATTCTGGATTTTGATAGTTATAGAATCAACATGATTATCAAAATAACTGCTTTAGCAACATCTTTTCTAAACCCAAAACCTTCTTGGAACGCAACCTGGTTCAAGTTGGAGACTCAAAAGGTCAATGACCCAAAATAAATAAATTATATGGAACCCAAAGTGAACCAAGCTCAATAGTGTCTGAACCTGAAAATTGTCAAACAAAAAAGTTTTTTTTATTAGTTTGGGGTGATTACTAGGTAGTATTTGTTCAGAATTTTTCTTAGCCTATTAACAGACAAAGCGCACACACCTTGCAGACTTAGATGCTTGAACCCGGGTCCTCTAAGGAGATCAACATTCTTTTTTTTATAAGAATAGGAGGCCTCATTAAAAAACCCCTTCATGATTAATGGAGCTCGTAAAAAGCTCCTTAATCAGCGGAAGGAGGAAAAGAGTGCCTTAGATTTTCATTAAAATCATAATAAGTACATAGGAATTACAACACCCTAAAACTCTCTTAAGGAAATAGAGAACAAAAAAAACATCCCTAAAGAACAACACATAAATCAACCAATTCCAACCTTAGCTAGGGCATCTGCCTCTAGATTAGCTGTCCTAATAACCCATCTAATAACACTTTCAAAAACTCTAAGCTTTTCAACAATATCTTTAACAATATAAGCATAAACATCTAGACATAATTCAACATCCTTAATCCAGTCTACTGCCACCTTGCTGTCACTCTCAATAATCAAACGATCCTTAATCAGCTCGCGAAAAGAGACAGAACGATAAACCCTTTTGAATAACTTTTAATTCCATCAAGGTAGGAGGCCCCGGACCAACAGATTCCTTAAAAGAGCCTAAAATCGAACCAGAAACATCTTTTAAAACACCTCCTAACCCATTACTCTTCCAATCACTGGTAGTAGCAGCATCAACATTTAATTTGATAAAGCCCTTGGGAGGAGGAAGGGAACTTAGATATAATCGGGTTAGCGTAGAAAGAACAAGAATCCCCTAAGGAATGATCAGATATAAGTGAATCCTTAGAGATAGAAACCTCTTTATACTTTGCTAAAAACCATGAAGCAAGCCTAAACCTTGCTAAGAAGAAGAATTCAGCTTGATCTAACTTCCCCCCTTCAAACACAATAGAGTTCCTGATTTTCCAAGTGGTCCAAAGGACAACCCCTGGAATAAATGACCATATAACTGAATTAGTCTTCAAAGCATCCCAGGCTAGGAGAAAGCTTTTGGCATTAGCATGAAAAACAGAATTAATCTTCCAAAACTTCATAAATTTATTCCATAAAGACCAAACCACCGAACAAGTAAAAAATAAGTGAGAGGGAGACTCTTCCACCAACTTGCAAAGAGGACACATCTTCAATACCCTGAACTCCTTTTTTAACCAGTTCTGTCTTCACTGCCAGTTTCTGAAGAACCACTTGCCACAGAAATGACTCCACTCTTGGAGGCAGCAGACCCCTCCAAATTAAATTCTTCCAGAAATGGACCTCCTCCGAACTCGAAAAACCCGAATAACAGAGATTAGAACAAGATTTAACAGAATAGGAGATCAACATTCTCATTTACCATTAAGGCCACTCAATAAATGACATAAACCGGTGCATATGAGACTTAATAATCTGAAGTCAAATCTATCTGTAACCCAGAACTGAACTGATCAGAAACCATTACTACCCAAATAGTAACCTTTGAAGACTGGAAATGAATGAAACAATGGCACTTTGGCTGGTTTAAAAGCTTATTAAGTTTACTACGATTTTATAGATACATGAAAATTGGCTGTAACATGCATTCTACTCTCCTGTCCAATTGTATCTTTTGTTTGATTCTTAGCCCAAGCATGCAGTGTTACCTTTGTTGTATCATTAACAATGCCATGCAATTTGCAGATTGCAGCAAAATTTCGTAACAGCGGACAGACTTGTGTTTGTGCAAACAGAGTAATTGTGCAAGAAGGTATGGATGTAAAAATGTATTCAACATATTCTATTGGCAAATCTTTTTATTTTTAGTATGTTTCTTTATAGTGAGAAATTTCGAGTGCATTTGGATCTAGAAAATACATTTTGTTTTATATGCCAATTTCTTTAGTGTCTAAACAAATTTCACAGTGCTAGACCTTTTTTCAGGTATTTATGAGAAGTTTGCTGAGGCTTTTTCAAAAGCTGTCCAGAATCTGCAAGTTGGAGACGGCTTCACTGAAGGTGTAGCTCAGGTAGTTAGCCTAAGCCCTTTCATATTTTTATTGTTCTTGTGAAATGGATCTTAGTGTTTATGTGTGGCTAGTCTATGCATTTATGTTTCTCAATATTCAGTTTACAAGGATAGTTATTGATAGAAATTATATTGTTCCTTTTTCTTGAAGTACTGTGTGGAAATAGTGACTAGAAAAGATTGCACTTATGTTTGTGCCATTGCTAAGTTGATTGGAGCTCTTTCTATTTAATTATATTTATGGAGTGAATTTGTCCTAAGGATATTAATTTTGATTTACTGTACTTACCTATCAGGGTCCACTAATTAATGAAGCTGCAGTACAAAAGGTTAGCTTTGCATTTTTTATTTTCCAGTTTTTATCAACTCCATATCTTCATTTTTAGTTTTACTTTTTTCTTTTAGTGGATTTCTCTACTGTCTCATCTTTGGAATTTTGTTTTTCATAGGTTGAATCTTTCCTTCAAGATGCTCTATCAAAGGTTTGTCTTTAACTTTTCTTATCAACTAGTGGCTGCCAATTGTCATAGACAAGTTATCTCAAGGAATTGTACTGCTTGATGTTGTATTCTGTGTTTGCATTTTGAGTTTAACAACTTTAATTGAACAAATGTTAAAACAGGAAAATGGCACATGGGTATGTTGCCAGTTTTTGCATGGATTGATGTTTTTGTTCATTGATTGCATTCTTTTTAGTGAATTTGTTAAAATTCTCTACATTTTAAAATTCACGAAAGCTACAATTTTTTATTGCTATCTGCAATATGGTGCATGCCAAACTTCTTAACTGATTGTCATAAGACCCAGGAAGCACGGACACAGGCACACAATACATGTATGACAAGACACAAACATGGGGACATGTGTATTCCTAAAACTTAGGACACAAGGTCGGGTAATGGCAAGACATGGAAATAACAAATATTCTTTATACAATGATGCAATAAAAAGTTAGAATTGATACTTCTCAGTTAAATATTATCCTTTAAAAAGATTTTCTACTCTTTAAGCTTATTTTTTGGATTTTGAAACTTCAACTATAAAAAACCTGTTACACCAACTTGCTTTGATTCCCCATTTGGGATAAAAATACAAATTAAAAAATTAAAAGAAAAATCATCACATGTCGAACCATGTCTTTGCCGGGTTTTGACCATGTTTTTAGTTTTTACTTTTTGGCCTGTCCTCTTGTATTTAGCACCGTATCCTATTATCTTAGAGCCACGTTCATGTTGGACACAAGGCTGAACGCTCCCCTAACAAAAGTACCCGTGCTTCATGGCATTACACTTTTTGTAGTATATAACATTCAATTTTCTATACTCTTGGTTTCCATTTTAATTCATGGTTCCCTATGATTGAGCATGCTTATTTTTATTATACTTGATTTTAACATGACTCGGAGTTGCAATTCCTCAAGCTCATACCAAAATCACCTTCTCATTGTATATTTGCCAACTTTGGTAAGCCAAACCAGCCTATTTATGGTTCCTGCCATGTATCATGTGTATATATGCATCATTTCATACTGTCTCTTAACTTCTCCCTTTCCTGCTTCCCTGTCTCTTCCGGCAAGTGTTGCTAAATTTTGTTACTGACAGCCTACATTTTTCCCTGTAAACGTTTATTTACCTCACAACTTATTGACTGTTGATTTTTTGAAGGGAGCAAAAGTCATTCTTGGGGGTAAAAGACATAGCCTTGGAATGACTTTCTATGAGCCCACAGTTGTTACTGATGTCAAGAGTGACATGCTATTAGCAAGGTACATCCTCTAAGATATGCTGACATTTCAGATCGGTTACTAAATATGATATGAAAGCAACTTGATGCTTTAAGTTCGAGAGTATTATAGTATGGTCTGAGTCTTCACGCATGCTAATTTTAATCAATCTAAGTAACTTTTAAGGCAAAAGCTATAATTTATGTTCTATTTGATCTTCTTTTATGACGTAGGGGTTTAAGGAATAATATGATGGGTCTATCAATTCCATGCTAGTGGAAATGGTTGTAAACTATGACCTTTTTGAATCCTTGAGGGAAAAGTGTTATGGATGGTTCCATGAGCAAGTATTCCTGATTAGAATAATTTATTTTTAGCAAGTATTTTATTGCAATTGAAAGTCTTTATGAACTGAAGGTTCCACACATTGTTAATCAAAGGTTCTTCATGAGGTAGGGATTGTAATAAGGTTAAGGCTTTATCAACTGATGCAGATTCTCTCGTAATCCCTAGTGACTCAAACTATAACTCAGTAACTTAAGAATTTGGTATCAGAGTAAGACACTAATGGAGACTCCCACGCAAAAGAAGAGTTGTGAATTTTGTTACAAGAAGCTAAAAGAATTAGCAAAGGAAGATTGGTAGATGTCAAGTCACAAGTGGCAGCAAGTGTAGCCACAAATAGCCTAAATTGGGAAATCAGTTACAATAGCTGTATAGTGACTCAATCTATGAACATAAAAAATACACGAGAAATAAATGTATTAATGTACATACATATATGTATATATTTAAAAAGGGGGGGAAACCCATTTAGATACATTTCTCATCTGAAAGAATTGAGATTTAGTAAAACCAAATAGACAGCCAAACCTAAAACTATTTGGTGGGCTTTTTTATGTTTTAGTTTTTTAGAAAAATTGGGCTACTATTAGGCTTAATTACGAGCTAATATTCAATGAACCACAACATTTTTATCCTTTTGCTGCAAACACGTTGTAAACAATTATTCTTTACTCTCTAGGATTTGGGGTGCAAAACAAGTTGTAGAATTCTTCTAAATTCAACTCTTTGTTCGTCTTCCCTTTTGTTTATCTTCCAGATGGTGAAATGGAAAGACCTTTTTAGTGCTTCTTTTATCATATTTGGATACCCAAAGCATAAGCTATTCGGTTGGCCTTTTTCTGGTATTTGTTGCTAAATTTCAGCCAAAAGTCAATGAACAGTAAATTGCATTTTTGTGCCCACCCCCCTCATTTTTTTTAACATTCGGGAGTGTTGATTGAAATTATTCTGACAGACTGACACTACAATCACTGAACACTTTAGGAACTGGGTCATGGGATTTCTATAAAAAAAATACACTACAATCACTAGATTGAAGAACTGGGATAATCATTGTGATGTTTTTTATAGGTGCACTATTCTCGGTTCCAAAGTTTTACAGAAGAAATTTGATGAACTGAATCTTTGTTAAGGACTCTGCTCATAAGTCCATGATGGATGATAGTAGGATCGTGAATATTGCTTTTTTTTTTTGATAGAAGATTAGGTCTCATTAAAAACCCAGTTTTTCACCCTCCATGTTATGTAAGTAACATGAAGGACAAAGAGAGGAGGAAAAAAGTGCCTAGAAATTTATTAAGATGAAACAATAGTACAACATAGGCAGACCCTAACAATCTGCTAACACCACCATGAATTACATAAAACTTAAACACAACAACTAAACATAGGGAATAAAATTTCCTACACCTCAACACAAGTAGAAAGAAACCAAAACATCACCCTATCCCATATTTAGCTAATTTGTCAGCTTCCCAATTTGCAGCCCTCAAGATATGCCTAAAAATGATATCCTTCCTTGCCATAAGAGAGACTATATCCTTCACCAATAATTGAAACATAGGAGTGCATAAACCCGGATTCTTGATTCACTTCAGAGCATTGCTTGAATCTGATTCAAGAATAAACCTCTGATTAAGAACAAAACTTAAATCTTCCAGAAGACATAACCCCCTCTTAATCGCCAATAATTCTGCCAAGATAGAAGGACCACCCCAACTCTTTCTGATAACCAATGAAGCAACACGCCATTGCTGTCCCGAATCAGACCCCCAATACCTCCCTTATCCCAGCCCTTTACCATCACTCCATCAACATTTAACTTTAAGAACCCATCCGGAGGAGGAACCCAACAAATTGGTTGAGAGCTACCATTTCCCTGTTTTCCCACCAAATCAGTAAGTTTTACATCACCCACAAGTGAGTCTAAAGGGATATGCACATCCTTGAACTTTGCAACAAACCAGGAAGCTATTCTAAAACGAACAATAAAGAACAGTCTCACCACATCCAGCTTAACTTTCTGAAAAATAACCTCATTTCTACATTTCCACACTAACCACATCAACGCCCTTGGAATAAATTTCCAAATCAAAGAGTTCGGAAGTAAATCATGCCACAAATTGAAAATGTCAATGATATTCTTTGGAATCACGAAGGACAAATTCCAGATATTCAAAAATCTGGACCACAGACCTCATACTACCTCGCAATGCAAAAAGAGATGCGTAACTGATTCCATTTCCCTACCACTCAAAGAACATAAAGGATCATCAATCCCTGCCACACCTCGCTTTAGTAATTCCTCCTTAACCGCCACTCTCTGATGAGCAACTTGCCAAACAAAGGTCTCCACCCATGGAGGAGCAATCCCTACCCAAATATGCCTCTCCCAGGTCTCTTTCTTCTGCTCAATACCATCTTGATCAAAGAAAACGTTGATACAAGATTTAGCTGAAATTGTTTCCTAGACTTTATGTTCTATCAATTAATAAATCGGGTAAAGTGAAGGAGTTTAGGGTAAATAATGCTTCGGGTTGGGTGTGGGACATCCAAATGAGAAGGAATTTGGCTGATTGGGAAGTAGAACAGTGGATGCAGTTGATTTCTATGTTGAATAATACCTCTCCTTTTCCTACTGAAGATGATTGTTGGATTTGGTTAGGGAATGGTGAAGGAAATTTTACAGCTAAATCTTGTTTAAACGCTTTCTATGAACAAGGTGGTTCTGAGCAGAATCAAGTGAATTGGGATAAGAATATTTGGTCTGGTTTAGCTCCTCCAAGGGTGGAATTGTTTGTTTGGCAACTAGTGCAACATAGAGTACCGGTTAAAGAGGAGTTAGCAAAGAGAGGTGTTGCAGAGATTGTTGACCAACGTTGTGTTTTGTGTGGTAGGGAGGTAGAATCAGTTTCCCATCTATTTTGCATTGCAGGGTTGTGTGGGGTCTGTGGTCCTCCTTGAAAATGTGGAATGTGTCATTGGTGACTCCAAAGTTTACCATGGAATTTCTAATTTTGTGGGATGATTTTATGACTAACTCTTTGATTTGGAAATTCATTCCTAGGGCAGTGATGTGGTCAGTATGGAAGTGTAGAAATGAGATTATCTTTCAGAAAGGAAAGCTGGATTTGGTCAGATTATCTTTCATTGTTAGATTTAGAGTGGCTTCCTGGTTTAGTGCTCGTTTCAAGGATGTGGGTATTCCTCTAGATTCTCTAGTAGGTGATTTGAAAATTGCTGATTCGATTGGTAGATCAGGAAAGGATTGCTCTCAACCTGCTTGTTGGGTTCCTCCACCGGAGGGGTTTCTAAAGTTAAATGTAGATGGAGCGATGGTTTCGGGTTGGGAAAAAGGAGGTATTGGTGGTCTGTTTCGAGATAGCAGAGGTCTATTACTTCAGTGGTTTTCTGAAGCAGTAGGGGGTGGTCCTCCTATCTTGGCAGAGCTGTTGGCTATCAAAAGAGGGATTTGTCTTATGGAGGAGTTGGATTTTGTCGCAAATCAGAGAGTTATCTTGGAATCAGACTCATCTAACGCTCTGAAGTGGATCCAGAATCCGGGTTTAAGCCCTCCTTTGCATCTATCCTTGGTGAAGGATATAGTTTCGCTTTTGATTGGAAAGGATATTATATTTAGGCATATTTCAAGGGCAGCAAACTGGGAAGCTGACAAACTTGCTAAAGATGGGATAGGGTGATTTTTGGTTATTGTTGTGTTGTTTAACAGGGATTGTACCTCCCTGTTTGTTGGATGTTTTGTGTTAAGTTTTATGTTCTTCTGTTGGAAGTGTAGGAGTTTGTTCAATCTTGTAATCTGGTTCTTGTGAATAAAAGTTTTCTTGGCTCTCTTTTCCTCCTTCGTTGTTCCTTCATGTTACTCTCATAACATGGAGGGATTGAAGGAGGATTTTAATGAGGCCTCTTTCTATCAAAAAAAAAAAAGATTTAGCTGAAAAACAGCCCTCTCCATTCCCTGACCAAATCCAACAGTCTTCCTCACATGGAGATATAGAGATATTGTTCAACATAGAAATCAACTGCAACAGCTGTTCAACCTCCCAATCCGCCAAATTTCGCCTCATTTGAATGTCCCACACCCAACCAAAGGCATTATTCTCCCTAAACTCCATCACTTTACCCGATTTGTTGCTCGAAAGAACATAGAGTCTAGGAAACTGAATTTTCAAAGGACTTCACCCAACCATACATCGTTCCAGAACTGCACAGAATTCCCCTTCCCTGTCTTCAAACGCATATTCTTCCTAATAAAATCCCCAAAACCATCATCAGTAAAGAAAGTTTTAACCACACCTCTCCAAATCCACGATGCACGGGCTGGCCACGAATTCCCCATCATTATGCATTTCGGATCCATGTCATATACACCACATACCACCCTCTTCCACCAAGACTCTTTCTCTGATGCAAACTTCCATACCCATTTCCCCAATAAAGCTCTATTCAAGAGTGATAAATTCGGGACCCCTAGACCCCCCAATCTTTTTGGTTTACTAACCGAATTCCAATTTAACCAGTGGATATTTTTTTTATCCGCCGCACCCCCCCCCCACAGAAATGAAGCCATGATAGAATTTAGTTTCTTTAGCACAGAAGCTGGAATTTTGAAAATTGAAAGAAAATAAACGGGGAGCGAGCACAACACTGATTTAACCAACACCACTCTTCCTGCTAGCGACAGGGAATTAGACATCCAACCACTCAACTTAGCATGAAATCTGATATCATTGCTGCTTCAAAGAAGTTGATAGTCTACTGCATTACAAGTGTGAAGTATTTCAAGTCAATTTGGTGTCTGTCATTGTGTACATTTTTTTTGATAGGAATTGAAGGCCTCATTAAAAAACCCCTTCTTGATTGTATGAGCTTGTATAGAAGCTCACCAATCAGCGGAAGAGGGAAAAGAGTGCCTTAAAATTTTTATTAACCATAATAAAATACATAAAATACATCCAAGAGCATTTCCCAAAATAACCAGGAACAAACAACTACCCAAACAGGCCTACCAACCCTGTACAATTCTACAACGACCTGAACTTAGTCTGGCTTGTAACCGATCGGCCAGAAAACCAACACAAAACATTCCCACAAAATACTTGATGCAATCAACCAATCCCCCCCTTAGCTAACTTGTCAGCTTCCACATTGCAACTCCTAGGAATCAATCTCAAAACAATATCCTTAGCCGAAATAGATGCCCCAATTTCCTCCACCATCGAACTGAAAAAAACTGGTGCAGAGTTTTGATTAGAAATCCAATCCACTGCTGTTTTACAGTCGCTTTCTATAATTAATCTTCCCTTGTTAGCCCATGTCGAAGAGAAGAAAAACACAATCCCTTCCTTAATAGCTTTCAACTCTGCTAAAATAGGAGTTCCAGGCCCTACCGCTAAAGAGAAAGTGGCTAAGGTACTCGGGGTAGAATCTTTTAAAATCCCACCTATACCACCTTGCAACCTATCCCCTCTTACCGCCCCATCAACGTTTAGCTTGAACATATCTATAGGCGGTGGAGTCCAACAAATAGCCTTCTCATGGACATGATAGTACTGAGACTTATCTGCAAGCGTTGGATCCCCAACTAAATTGTCAGAGTTGATACTAACCAAAGGATATTTAGCAAGAAACCATTTTGCCAATCTAAATCTGGCGAAGAAGAACAAAGATGAAGTGTCGACCTTCCACTTTTCGAAAACAACCAAATTCCTAACCTTCCAAATTAACCATAAAACAACCCCTGGGATGAACTTCCAAATGCTAGAATCCTTCCTTAGGAACGACCAAGAACACAAAAGTGAAATGGGGTCTTGAGGAAGAGCAATAGAAATATCCCATAACCTAAGGAATTTGGTCTATAACTCCCCTGCAACCACACAAGAGAAGAAAAGGTGTTCAACAGATTCTTCATGCAATTGACACAGTGGACAAAGACCGTCTTCCAAAGGAATACCTCTCTTCTTTAACTCCTCTCTAACTGCCACTTTACCATGACAAAGCTGCCAAAGGAACGTTTCCACCCTAGGAGGAGCCAAACCAGCCCAAACCCACTTATTCCACTCAAACGAACCTTCTACACTGCTATAAAAAGACCTCCTACATGACTTGACCGAAAACAGGCCATCACCTTTCCCCGACCACCCTCTGTCATTGTGTACATGTTTTGGTGTTTTTGTGATATATATGTTAGAGTCAAACATGCAGTTTTTACTGAGATTCTCAGTACATGTTTGGTTGTTCTTTATATGCTGTCATGTTGCGACGTCAATTTTCAGCATGATTTTGTCTTTGTATTTATGTTTTAGATTTATGGAGATGCATTTCAATTTGTCTTATGTCAGGGAGGAAGTGTTTGGACCCGTGGCCCCTCTTTTGCGGTTCAAAACTGAGGAAGAAGCTATCTGCATCGCAAACGACACCAATGCAGGTTCTTTTTTTGGGCTTCATTGTCTTCTGGATAAGCTAATCCATAGTTCATTGTCATTATGTTTTTTATTGTTCTATTAGTTCCTTAGAACTATCTATCTACTGAACCTAATTAATCACTATTGGAAAATTACATTAAAAAATTATTCATAAACTACCTCTTCTAGGATAATATTATACAGTTTGATTTATTATATCTTCATTCTATGCTGCACATATTCAGGGTTAGCTGCTTACATATTTACAAACAATGTTCAACGGACATGGCGTGTCTCAGAAGCACTTGAATATGGACTTGTTGGTGTTAATGAAGGAATCATTTCAACTGAGGTGGGTCATATTTGGATAAACTAACAGAAAAGCATCAGCAGCTATAGATTAAACTTATGGTTTGTTCGTTTCATTTCAGGTGGCACCATTTGGTGGTGTCAAACAGTCTGGTCTCGGGCGAGAAGGTTCCAAGTATGGGATAGATGAATATCTTGAAGTGAGTGTAACCGGATATTTCCTCGATGCATTTTTCTCCTCGATATCCTGTTTGCCTCAATAAAGCAATTTTTCATGTTTTTGCAGCTAAAATACGTGTGCTTGGGAGATATGAACAGAAAATGAAGTGCAAGGTATGTACTGGGATTCTTATTTATGATAGAAGCTCGGAACTCGAAACCGTAGAACATCAAGTGGTTTGTATTGCTAAATGTCTATTCACAGAATTTAGGAAACCTTTGATGCCGTTGTTGACTAATTAATAGTTGAGAAGGCAACTTGTTGGAGGGTGGTGCACTAAACTGCAGTCTTTGAAGGTAAGTTATGTTAATGGGAGGGTGTGTAGTCTGAAAGCTTTTATCATGAATCACTTGCCGTTTCATTACTGTTTATGAATAAAGAAAGAAACATGTTTGTTTTGTTGCAGACTAGTTTTAGGCGTGATTTAAATAATTACTTTAATTTCATAAAGTAAAATACATATATTATTTAATAAACTAGATCAATTAAAATCACCTCTATATAAACACTTGTGCTTTATGGATTCATCCACCCTACCCCCCAATACTTTATGTGTTCATGTGTTGATGAAGTTGGTTGTTATAGATATAGTGAAAGTGGAAATGATTAGTGAAGGTAAATACATATATTATGGATCAAAGATATCAGCTGGAGGATTTAAGGAATCAATGGAGAGTCCCTGAACATTGAAAACATCATCATCAATGCTCCAAAACTCTTCCATCCGACTCCGGCTGTGCTGCATCGGCTGCTCCCCGAATAGGAAAACGGTGGCGATCGATCTTCCTTGGTGCGCTATCAACACTCAGTCCACATCTCTATAGTCCTCGATGCTGCTTCCGATGGTTGTTTCCCAGTAGGCACAACCACATGCATCGTCTCCTTTCGTTTGGACTATGGTCAGGTGGGAGTCCTCCAAGTATATCAACAACCCACTCTTTTGGGAAAAGTAGCCGTACAACACATGCCTCATCACCTCCGCCGGCCCTTTGTTCCGTTCCATTACTGCTGCACGATCGGCGCATACCTTCAGTACGAAGCAATCCTCATCGCCTATTCGTTTCTCCTCCCCAGGCATTGTGCCTTTGCAAATAAGCTGGCTGTCGCCTTTGGATCCAGCCCCTGAATATTCATTCCAATTAGCCCATCTTTACCCAAATAATTGAAAAAATCACAATGCGTATAAAGTAACACATTGATTATTTGAGAATTAAGGGTAAAATACCCATCAAAGCAAAGGAGGAGAGCAAAATAATGCAAGAATATAGTAAAGAGCAAAAAGCAAAAATGGAAAAAGAAAGGGGGAAAAAAACGAAAGACAAAAGGAGAAGGTGACAATCCCAAGATGGAAGCAGTGGAGGTGGTGTTGGATGCAAGTGATTGATGAATGATCATACATTACATGCATGTGATGATGTCAACTATACCATATAATAATCCCTAACTCACACATTCATTTCTTTTCTAAGGATCAAAACAAAAAACAAAAGAAATTTTGTCTGCTAAAGCATCCATCCTTGTCACTTATACCCCATCCTTGTCTGCTAAATCAAAAAATTTGAATTTGGATACAATTTATCAAATTTTAAAATTAACATGGATTTAACAAACATATAATTTACGCTTGTCGCACCATATTATTATTTACATCAAAATTATCTCATATCTTAATTTTTTGTTTAGTACATAAATATTAATGTTATTAACACCGAGGACAATATTTTATATTAGAGAGCAATCTTTTATGTTAGGGAGCAATCTTCTAAGACACGAACTTATAAAATTAATTTTAGGGAGACAATTTATATAAAAAAAATTAAAATATATGATAATTTTAAATTTTTAAAAAAAATGATTACCTCCATCTGTCCATTCAATCCATCCCTAACCTGCTAATCTGATTGCATGGAAGTAAATGTGGGTGTGTAGCCGTGAGGAATTAAGAGGTAAAAAAGGGGGGGGGGGGAATGAAGTGGACTAGCTTAGATACCTGGATAATGCGTCGCAAAAGACGTTGAGGACCCTTGGCAGCATGTGTGCCGAGCAAAGAAGTGTGTCGCCACACCGTTTTTCCGTTGCTGCCGGCGATGACATTGTTGCCTCCGATGACGAGCTCGAGAGACCACATCTCCGGCTTCATTTGCCAAACCACAAAGCAACCGCTCATCTCTTCACTCCTCGTCCCTAAACTCTTCACCATACTCGTCCCTTTCCCTAACACCGTCCCCATTGATATCTCCGTCTCGCAACATAACATCTTCACTCTCCCCGTCGCGTACATGTTCTTAGCCCCGCATTTCTGCCGCTGCTTCAAGCACCCCGACGCCGCCAAGTATTGCTGTATAATGTAATGCGCCGTCGATGCTTCCTGTTCGTATTCAATGAACAGTAAGGGATGGTCACAACTATAGTTTTGAAAACCGGACCGGACCGGCCGGTTCAACCGGAAACCGTTACCTTGTCCGGTTTAATCTACACTGGTTGAACCGCTACCAGTGAACCGGCCGGAACCGTTGAACCGCTCGAACCGGACCGGCTGAAAACCGGAAAAAACACCAATTTTGTTTTTTTTTTAAAAGAATTAAACCAAACAACGTCGTTTGTTAAACGAGTCAAGTAGAACTCGAGTAATGATGAACTCGACTCGAACTTGAAAACTTTAAAAATAAGCTCAACTTGACTCAAACTCACGAGTTAAAAATTATCATGTTCAAATCAAACTCGAAATATAATATTAAAACTTGAAATCGAAAAGGCTTGAACTCAAAAAAAATTTAGAAGCTCGATTGAAGCTTAAAATTCGAGTTTAATTGAAGTGAAAGAATAGTTCACTCAATGCTCACCAAAAGTCTCCATAATTTTGAATGTCAAATTATCTCTATTATTTATAGAAGTTAGTTGAGATGCTCTTCTATGTTTCTTAATCATGTGAGATTGTTTTGTTCTCATGTTTTTACTCTTTAGACTTTTGGGGTGTTCTTCTATGTTTCTTAGCCGTGGGATTGTTTAAAAAAAAAAAATTAAACCAAACAATATCATTTTGTTATGATTTTTTTAGCCCCAAATTTATTTTTTAATTATAATTATATAATTATATTTATTATTTAATATATTTTACCTTAAATATTATGTTGTAGTTAATTTGAATCATTTTGTTTCACTTGATTTTATGATTTTTAACTTATATATGTTATGAATTGCTTTGAATATAACTTGTGATATAAAAAAATATTTTTTATTAAATATTTTTGGTATTTTTATTTAATTTTTTAAATAATTATGACGTCGTTCGATTCTTTCGACCGATCGAACTGATTCGACCGGTTGAACCAATAAACTGATAACATGACCGGTTCGTTAACCGATCCGGTTCTGAAAACCATGATCACAACTTACAATGAAAAAAAAAGGAAACTTACAATGGGAACGTCTTTGAGGAGAATGTGATGAATTTGGTGATTAGGTAGAGGAATAGGGGAGAGAGGGCAACCCAAAACGCCGAGCAAAAGACTCAAGTCTTGTCTCTTGGCCGCCGCCAGAACATTACTTGCATTTGCACAGGGATAATTAGACAGTGGGAAGTTATTATTAGTTGGAGAGAAAGACATGCTCTTCTGTGTTCGAAACCATTCTCGGATGAGTTCCCAAGACCACTCCTTGTTCCCTTCTTCTTGGATTTCAGGATCCATTGGTCCTTCCATTAATGGCGTCAATGTCTGCTTGTACCAGCTCTGCTTCCTTCTTGCTCTCGTCCCCATTGATTTTGAGATGAAATATATGTCTTCTTTTTTCCACCCAAAGAACTCAGAGACAGCGAGATATATAAAAGATTAAAGGAGATGATGCTCAGAGAGTAATGGAAAAATGGGAAATTTTCATGTGGCAAAAGAGTGAGAAAAAAGGGACCTGTGAACCGTTCAACCACAGGGGTGACTGAGAGATAATAAACTACTTAACAGAATCTTTTTCTTTTTCACAATGGGATATGTTAAAAGAAAATTTTAAAAATATAATTTATTAATATGAAGTTAAAAGATTATATAAATCGGTTATAATCTAAAATATTATCAAGATCTTAGTTTTTAAAAGTGGACAGAGTAATTTTTAAAGTTAGACAAGTTGCATCCGGAAATGATATTTTCGGTTGCAATCGAAAATATTATAAAATTATGTAATTTTTTAAATTAAATATAATTATATTTTAAATTGAAATAATTTTAAATTAATTTTAAATTAGACTATCACGCCGTATAACTACTCATATCTTAATTAAGAGAAAAAAAAAGAGTTTGTTGATATCAAAATTTCAATTTTCTTTTTTTTTTTTTAAAAAAAAGAAGTTAAATCGTATGAAATATTTTTAACATTACCTGTTTTGCTTTTGGACTTGGACTAATAGTTTATATATATATGTAGTGAAGGGTTGTTTTGGGTTTTTAAGGTTTTATTCATTAATATCAATTATTAGAAAATATAATTCAATTGATAATTAAAATATATTTAAATTTTATAATAATATATATGAATAATATTTATTCATTAGTATCAATTATTATAAAATGTAATCCAATTGATAATTAAAATATATTTAAATTTTATAATAATATATATGAATAATATTTATATATAATCATGTACGGAGTCATTCATGTAATAGGGCATTGAAACATTAAATAAAATTTAAAAGACATTTATAAATTTTAAGTAAAGAGTATTAAAAAATAAAAATAATGTCATATAATTTTTCTTTCTTTATTTTTAATATCGTAAATTGTAAGAGTATTTATATCATTTTATGATATAAAAGTTAAATTACAATAAACTTAAACTTATATATATATAATTTATATAAAATAAAACTGAACATATAATCTAAAAATTCCAAAATTTTAAGAAGATTTATTTTCTAAAAAATATTGTATTGAACAATCTTCTTTTCTTTTAGGTATTTGGAATACCTCGGAAGATAAAATGAGATGACATAAAGTAATATACTCACATATTTAAATTATAGTTGTAATTGTATTTTTTATTTTGTTTATCTTAATTGTAATAATAATACATGATATTACCATCATTACGGATATTATATCATATAATAATAATAATAATTTTAAACATCACTTTTATCATTATATAACAATCATTATTCTAATAACGGACAACTGAATCTTTAGTTATATACCCCAAAAGGCCAAAACACTGATGGTAGGATGGATACAAGAGTTAAGTAGAATACCAAACAAACGATAATAGTAGTGGAGATTTTAATAGTAAAAGATAGTATTGTTTTTCTTAAAAATCGAGTTCGAATAATTGTACTTGAAATGTGTGTTTACGTTGCCAATGACTAAGAAATATTTTGAATAGATATTAACTTGTAATTATTTAAAAACATTCCAAAAATATATATTATCTTTTTGATTAGAATGTAAGATTATAAGTTTTATAATTTTTATTGAGTTATCATCGAATATTCTTGGCCATTGATATTATGTTTATATGATAAATTATAGTATGAAATTCTTGAGAACATAATATCCAATAGAAAGAAAGATAACATTTCTCCCTTTAAAATTCTTTAGAAAATACGAAGTATCACACTGAAGGTTGATTGGAGGAATCCCTGTGCCTCATATGCAGGGTTCCTTAGGGTAAAACCTAAGATTGATTGGAGGAACCAATGCACTTCACACATAAGGCTTCATAGGATTCACACCTGTGTTGTATTTCATATATGTTGGACATTTTATGATCCTATTTTATATCTCTGACAGCTTTAAAACTTTTGAACACTATTGCTGAGGTTCGATTGGTGTTTATTGCCTTTCTGGACAATCATCTATTCAAATTAATATCGTTTGTTTGATTAAATTAAGTATATGCTTTTAGGCTTGTTAGGTACTAAAATAGAAGTATGTTTCTTGTGTAAGAATAATTATCTTGTATTTCTTTTAAGCATGTTTGTTTATCTTTTATACATTGTTCAGGGTTGGGAGGAGATAGTTGTTAAGCAAGAACAGTCTGATGAGGGGGCATCAGAGATGAAATTATCACTCCCATCTATGCCTTCTCTCTATGTGATCTCCTTCTTATGTCAAGCATGTGAAGAAATTCATAGCGTTGGAGGCCATGTTCTCGAAAAATCAATTGTGAAAAGGTTTGCACTAAGCCTTATAGAAAAGGTACAAAGCTTGTCTTGCATCATTTTTTACTGATTAGAATATGTAGCTTGGGTAATAAGTAACATTAAAAATGATAAACTAGAACAATGATTAAAATTATAGCTAATTGGAGTACATGCTTTTAGACATGTTACTTTATTTCACCTTAAGTAGTGAAGTGGTCTGACTTTCTGCTGTTGGTAATATCTCCAACTCTAAGCATATTGCACGTACAGAGTGCTGTAATTTATTACAATGTGCTGTTCCTGTAACAGAAGTTTTCTGATTGTTTTACTCGAACATTGCAAAAGTTTATGCAAAAGGTTCATCTGATAAATTATTTCCTTTCTTTAACTAGACCAGATTGTTTCTAGTCTGATTATTATAAAATGGGTACTATTATTTATCAAAATGCACTACGGGTGTTCTTAATCAAAATCTAAAAGCCTGATGAAATTGCAACTGTGTCATCTGTTCTCTGGATGCTTCCTTGTGAGCACCTTTGCGCCTATCAGTTTATGTTTTAGAGCGGTTATTTCAACTAGTAAAGTTTCATATGTTTTATTTATGTTGTTGACTGTAAGTCATGACTGTTTTTATATCTTCTGATTAATGGTGTTTTCTAAATAGTCTAAGGTATGAGCCATACTTAGGGGAGAATGAGAGGCAGTCATACCTCCGGCATGCTGTGCTCTTTGGGTTCTTTGTTCAACTTAATCGGATGTATACAGATACTGTACAGAAACTACCTACTAATTCCGAATCGAATATTGTGAGATGTTCTGTGGTTCCTCGTTTCAAATACCTTCCAATCAGGTTTATGTTTTACTCTTTTTTGTTTTGCTACACGATCTTCTTTTCACTTTACATTATGTACAATGCTATCTTGTGGTATTTTTTGAATATATCTGATTTTCCTGTAATTTATGGTTGGTCATTTAGTGCTCCAGCGTTGTCTTCTAGAGGTAATAATTGGAAACCTAATATGGCTGCCTCCAACAATATTACTTCAAGTTCCTGGAAAGCTTACACGAATGGAGGGCTTTCCCAGAAAGGTGATTTGGATGATCACCAGAGTTTTGGTGTTGCAACGCCATTCTTGAAATCTTTCATGCAGGTGATGCTATTCATCATTTTTTATGTCATTTAAAATGGTTTTTCCAACTCCCAATGTCATGTGATGTGACTGAAAAGTTTCCGTATAAAGTAGTGTACATTTCAAAAGCATGCTTGCCGATGCCCATACATCGGTTTGGCTTTATTTGAGCCAATCTAGTGAGACTCGATTAAAGTCGCGCCCTTTGTGGTTTTGACTCTTCGCTAATAACACCTCGTAGTGTTCCGTTTTCCTTTTAATTTTCACTTAGCACTCTGGGGTTTCATCTTTTTATTATAGGGGGTTACTTAAAGTTGCTTATCCGCAGATTGTAAATATTTAGGCACATATGATGCTTTGGCTTGTTAAATCTTATGTTGCTAGTGATTTCCCTTGTATTGGTCCTGGCAGGTTGGCAGCAGACTCTGAGAGAGTACTTTGAAACTGGGATCCATGTTAACGAACGGACAAGTGGGCATATTCAAGGATCAACCCGCATCTGCCATGTCAACCTTCGGTGACATTTTACCTGTACAAGCTGCTGGACTTCTTTCATCTTTTACAAACACCAGGTTAGATTTTTAATCTCTGCTGGATTTCCCAGATTAAAATGGATACATCACTTATGTTATATGGAGGGTAGGGCGGCTTGAAATTTCCGAGTTCGACGATCAACGATGGGGAACAGTACCGAGTGATATAGTTCGAAAGTAAAAAAGTCAAATCCCAAAGTAAATATAAATTCGTACCCACCTACTTGAAATCATTTACAATTATCCACTTTAGGAGCTATATCTTAATGTATTAAACAAGTGCATATATATAAGGGGATATTGACATACCCCAACTCTGTAAATCAAATTTTGTAAAAGACAAATGTAGTCGTGGGTATTAATTCCAAATGTCTGACATTCCAACTTCAGACAAATAGCTTTGGTCTGAACTTCCTTCTCCAAGGCTCGGCGATTCCTTCACATTAAGATAAGTATCCAGCTTGGTCAAATGATTCAGCACATCTTTGATCACTTTTTTATCACAAGGGAAAGAGTCCAAGCAAGCAACATTAATGGGTGTTTGTCCAACAGCCGCTTCTGTTTCGGCCAACAAGTTCGGTCCGACGTCTGTGAAAATTGGATCGGTTTGGGATTCAGGCAAATTGGAGAAGCAGGGCACTTGCTGCTCATCTGAAATTGGTTGATTCTGATGAGAAGTGGTGTAAGAATCCATCAATGGTGGAAGAGGTGTTGAAGAGCCTGTGTCATCATAACAACTTCCCATGCTACTGTGTTTTGCACTAGTCTCTTTGTTCTTGTGCAACACTCGACATAAGACCCAGTCTTCCTGCAAGTTCCAAAATGACAAGCTTTTCTCATCAATTTCGGACAATCATATTTTGATGTCATGTAATTTATAAGAACAACAGTGAGTGGACAGTGATCAAAATCACAATTGAGGTTCGATATTAACAAAATTTGACATTAAAACTTATGGTAAATTATAAGTACATGTCCCAATATTCAACTCCATAATTTATATTGATAGAACATTATAACCAAACAATTTATTAGTTGAAATATTGATAATTCAACTATCTAATTATAATTTGCAATATAGAAAGAATAAGATACCTTGAAGGTGGAAAGTTGGGGAGAGGAAAGGAGCCTGAATTCATGCATGACCCAATCAGTTTTTGTGCCTTTGGGAGCCCGACCATGGTAGAACACCAAGGTTTTCCTCATCCCTACAATGGTGCCCTTGCTTAGGACAGCCCTATCTTTCCCTGTGGACTTCCAGTACCCCGAGGCTGTCGCCCTATTCGTCCGCAATCCTGATGCATATTTTCTATCTCTTTGATTGTAAAAATACCATTCCTTCCTACCCACTCGAGCCGTTTCTACAATTCATTTCCATTTTCAAATTAATCTTATATATACATATATGGTTTTTGCACTGAATATATATAATATTAACCTCCAGATATTATGCTATAAATTACTAATAATATGCTTGAATGATAAAGGGGATTTTTTAATCATTATTGTATTTTATAATATAAAATTTCAAACAAGCTTTTTTGGATAAGTTATATTATATATAAATTAAAATGGTTGTCCCTTATTCCCATATGTAATGGGGTAATGGGGTAAGGGGGAGATAAGATAGTAGGTTGTCCCCAACATCAGGTTGAGAGCAGCTTTCGTAGGAGACCTCCGAATTATAAAGTGCCCTCCATGGGACTCGATCCCACGACCTCAAGGTTAAGAACCTTGTGCTCTACCAACTGAACTGGATGGTAGAGCACAAGTTTCTTAGCCTTGAGGTCGTGGGATCGAGTCCCACGGAGGGCATTTCATAATTCGAAGGTCTTATACGGAAGTTGCTCTCAACCTGGTGTTGAGGGCATCCTACTATCTTACCTCCCCCTTACCCCATTATATATGGGAATAAGGGACATCCATTTTTTTTATATATAAATTAAATTTGGATAAGCTGTATTATTAAGATTTATTTGAAAAAATCATGTTCAATTTTTTTTGTTTTAAAAAGTTGATCAAAGTGTCTAATATTTTATTTTTATTTTCATTTTAAAGTCAAACTGTTACGTTAATAAAAAAAACTTTACTTAATGAATATATAATACACAATATATATTTTAAATAAGCGTATTATTAATGAAAACAACTCTTGACTTTGCTCTTTAAGTTTTTAAATGCAATAATACAATTTTTCATCATTTCTTTGAAGCTACACTAAAATTGTTAATTTTTGAGGTTGAATATGTCATAAAACATATCAAACTTTGAATTTTGGATTACTTCAACCTAATCTTCTTGGATGCAACTTTTTGGGGTCAATTGAAATTTAAATATTCTTTAGATTAAGTATATACCTCACAAAACTTTTATATATAGCTATTATATATATATATATATATATATATATAAATTGTTTAAAATTTATTTTATATTTATTTTTAATCTCAAATTCTAAACCCTATAGGCTAATTTTTTAAAATATAAACTTAAACCCTAAATTTAAACCTATAAATAGTAAATTCTAAACCTGATATAAAATACATATTCTCAAAATAAAAATAATTGGGAAGGGTAATTGAGGTAAAAAAGAAAACACTTGGCAGTCCAATTTTATAAGAGTGGCTTAAAATAGTTGAGCCACCAATAACAAATTGGTCTAATGAAACATTGCACTAGATCTTTGAAATAAAGTTAGTAGTTTAAATTATTAAGTTTGTGAATATAACAAACTGAATTGAAAGAGTTGTCATCATCTCAGTAAAAATTAATCTAAATTAATCGATTAATAAATCAGATATAGATAATATATATATATATATAAAGCCCCCAAAGCCAATCAAAGATCTCAACTTGTCCGTTAATGGATAATTATTGAAGATAATTATGGTAATTTTCCAAGAGGACAAAAGAGGGCTGCTTTGCTTACACGTGTAGTATGTGTGAACATATGTGCAAACCTTTAGGAAGAAATTGAAAATTAATTCCCACCACTGTTTTTTTTTAATTATTAATATAATAATAGTATAAAGTTTGAATAGTTGATGAGACGGAGACAGGGTCTTTTGGATTTGGTAAGAACAAAGGAAGTACTATTCCAATTCCTCTGGAAAACCTTTATAATCAAGGGAGATAAGATGACATTTTTGATTGGGACAATGCCAAGACTGTCCATTTCATTAAAATAAAATTAAAAAAAAAAACTCTATAATATAATATGGATTTTTTGGATAATGTTTTTAAATAATTATAATAATTTCATTATATTAATTTAAAGATTCAAGACTTTTCAAAACAGCTCAGCATGAATTGGATATACCTACATATATTTATTTAAAATTATATATGATTGGATATATATATATATATCATCCAGTAATTATTATTATACTTTTATATGAATAGAGTAGTATTTGTTCATAAATTTTATTAGTTATTAACAATATACAGACACAATTACTCGAGTTCAGAACATCTAAAAGAGAACAATACTCCATTTAATTAATAAAATAACTTGATATATTAAGACTTTTTTACGTTTACTACGTGAGTGAAAGAAAAAATTATCTAAAAAAGATGATGGATATGCTTATTGATGTCCATGGATATCGCCATAATTCAGACATTTCGTTTCATTTCTCTATTAGCAATTATATATGGTCTGGATTTAGACATTTTCCCACCACAAAAATGGACATCATCGACTTAAGCATATTCATCGTCCCAACTAGCACTTATTAAGATTTAATATTTAGCATTTAATGTGAATTCAATTATGGATATAAAATTTTTAAAATATAAAAAAAAAATATCTATATCGAACATCGTCAGCAAGAAACAAAAGGAACTGAAGATGCAAAGATGCATGCATGGAGTGGTGAGAGAAAAGTTACCAGGAAGATCCCAAGGCTCGCACTTATTAAGATCAACTTCAATCAGGAGGTGCAAGGTATCAGTTAAAGTAACCTTCCTCATCAAGTAATCACACACCAGCTCTTCATCTCTGGGGTGGAACCTGAACCCTGCTGGCAACTTCGCCTCTACCAACTTTATCTTACTCATCTTTTTCGGAACCTTCAAACCCAGAAAATTGCAGAAGAAAAGGGTTAAATCAATGGAGAATGAATGGATGAAGGAATAAATAAACCAGAGATTAGGTGAAATGGGGGTTAATCAATGGGTCCAAATGCTTAGGTGTTAATTATTTGGACCTGACTATCATCACCACTTTCGCATTTGTAATTTATACCAACTCCCCTTTCGTCATTCTGTCTTTTTCATTTCCTTTATATTCTAAAATTATGGAGTTTTACTAACCAAACAATATTAATGATTAAAGAATTATTGGTTTTTTCTTTAGATCTCAAAAATTATGTATATAGAAATGTACGAATGTACAATATCAAATGACTGAACGTTGGTGAAAAAATATTATCTTATATTCATCGTAAACTAATAAAAGAATAAATAAATAAATAAATAAATAAGACTATAGAGATGGCCCATTCAACATAATTAAATTGGGGGAAATATTTATCTGGTGCCCTCATCATATCCAATTCATTGGATTATGTTTCACCAATCATATATATATATATATATTCAATAAAATATTTCGTTATTTTTACTTTTTAAATCAATAAAAAACTATACAAAAATATTAAAAATATAATCAAAACAATTAATAAAAAATATAATTGACTTTAATAATTGATTTTATTACAATTTAAATGACGATATGTTCATAATTTTGAATGATAAATGATAATCACCATCAATATTTTTTTGAGTAATTTGGGGTAAGTACAAAATAATATTTGTCCAAAGATAACTCTCAACCTCTCAACATTGAACGTTCACACTCTTGACATCTATTGTACTCGAACATTGGTCCTCAAGGAAATACAATTCTTTTACCATGGAATCCACTTAGTTTGTGCAACACCATCAATATTATGTAAGAATAGAGTGTTGGAAAATTTGTGATAAATTAAAAACTTTGAGTCATATTTTCAATGGGTAAAGGTGAAGATTCAAATGATAAATTTATTGATTTATATTCTACTCCATGAGATCTTTACAATGATATCTCATATAGTCAAAACAGTTGAGTGATGAATGAGAAATTGATACTCAAAGTATGGTACCTTGTGAATTGTGTAATGAAAATAAATAAATAAATAGCTCATATCTCACATTAGTAGGATAAGAAGCGTGAGTAGTATTTGTATACGCTAACCCACTTGCTAGTCATTGAATGACTTGAGTTGATATTGTGTGCGTGTAGGCGTGGGGTGCAAATCCAAACCTTGTAAACCTATCAGGATTGGGGTCGCACCCGTACGATGTGGTCGAACTGAATGTTTAGATTGGTTGATGTTCACAAATGCATTTGATTAAATATGATACTCGTGGTTCACTTTTGAATTTATTCAAATACACATTAAATGACCTTAATTTTAGAATTCGTTATTTCTAATTATTCTCCTATGTGAAACCCTATAAATACCATATAAACTTTCTAGGTTAAACACAACTCAAAAACTATTTTCTTCTCTAATTTTCAGTGACAGACGACCGACAATCTCAAGCACATAGGAATGAAAAAAAAATATCTTAAGGAAATTGTGTAACTACATGTCTCAACTTGTTTATAATCCGTTAATCTGTCAGAAATCATGTATTTATCTCTAAATTGTTCTTTTCGATTATTAATAAAATATTTTTTCTTTTTCGTCTTGGGTATTTATACTTGTAACATAGAGTAATAACGAAACATTAACAACTAACTTTATCACAACTCAAGTACCACATATCTAAAGTGATTGTTTGTGATTGTGTGTATCTATCTATATGAAATAACCACCTTGAGGGTATGAAGAAGATATAGATCATCAATATAATTGAAAAAACGTCAATTTGAGAGATAACATCAAATCTAATCATGATTAAAAAAAATGCTACAATAATATAAAATAACATCAATCATTTTCATCAAAATCTCTAGAGCAAGTGGTTTAAAGCTCTTAGTTAACACCTCTCATTCCTTATAGGTTATGGACTTAATATTCGTTAAAGAGCAAAATTTTCATTCCCTTTCTCTTTCCCCTAAGTAGGAATTGTTAAAAAAAACTTAATAAACATCACCTCTATTTTTAAGTATAATTTGTTTAACTATTTGTCTTCTAAATAAGTTTATTATTATTTTTCAAAATTGAAAAAAAATAACTAATGAGCTTTACTAACAAAATTTTGCAATCTTGTAAATATCCACTTTGATAGCGCTTGTATGATATTAGCAATCTTTGACTTCGGAAAACAGTATATAATTTACATTACATATAAAAAAAATATCATAATGCAATAATTTTTTTTCTTAAGAAAAGTGTTATTTTCTTTAGATATATTAAATTCGAGCAATTATATCTACAAAAATAAAATATATACTAACTTATAATTATACAAGACTACTAAAATAAAATCCAGTCATCGTTTAATATAAATTAAAAGTTAATTTTAAATTTAATATCTTTTTAATTTTAATTTTAATTTTAATATTTTTAATAATTATATTTTAAAATATGTTTAATGATATAATATATTTATCTCATTGAAAAAAAATGAAAGATAGCTGTAAAAGGGATTGAATTCCAAAAGATGGTGGGGGTAATATAGTGAAAGGAACAGCCTCTGAATCTTTAAAGCAAACCCTTATCAAGTCAAATTCAATTCCTTCACAAACTCTTCTTCAGATTGTTCTGGTTATGATTACTTGGCCAAAAACCTATCAATCTGATGTCAAAATGAAAGCGAAAACACTAAAGAAAATTTCGAAAATCATTCAAATAACGTATTTACAATCGATTTATGTTGATCGTTATTGTGAATATGATAATATTATTCATTAAATAAAAAATTACAAAATAAAAACCAGGACCTTTTAAGTTTTTTCAAGTGAAAAAAAAAAACAAAGGAATCATGGTGAAGAAGAAATGGATGGTGGAAGGAGGGAGAGAACAACAGGACAAGTGTTTCAAAACGACAAAAATCGTTCAAACCAAAGCACGTCTCGTGAGGTCCGTAATCACTTTGTTTTAAAGCAACCAATAACTGAGATTTACTGTTTGTCTATGCCTCTGCTTGTGGATAGCTTGGATCAATGCTTATGTTTAAAGCTATATAAATAATGCAAGTAGGTAATAGCTGGGGTTGGGAGAAGCTTCTTAACAGACGTTTGGTTTGTAAAAATAATCATTATTTGGGGATTAATCTTTTGGGTAAAGTAGATTATGTATGGACTATAATGTTTTGTTTTGTTGTGTTTTTCGATGATTAAAGGTTACAAAATGATTCCGAGTATAAGATGTTACTTTGTTGAGTCCACTGATCAAATGTTACAAAATGGTCACTTGACTATTGATATTGATATGTTATAAACTCGTCATTTTTCGTTAAAAAATTGACGGCAGTCTGAGTTGGATGTTAACCTATTAACTAAGATATGATAAAATCATATCTCAAACAACTATACAACTCAAGTGGTTATGGAATCAGATTTTATCATATCTCAGTTAGCAGGTTAACGTCTAGTTTAGACAATTATCAATTTTTTACCGAAAATGATGAGTTTGAAAAATATGAATAGTTGAGTGACCATTGTAACTTTTAATAGTCGAATACTCTTGAAATATTGAGTTTTTTTCATATAAATTATTCATAATTCTTATTTTTCATGTTTTACTTAAAATTATAAATATAATAATAATATAAAAAGAATTTGATTTAGTAAAATATAAATAAATAAATTATTTCTATAAAATCAAAAATAATTCAAATAGAATTATAAGAGCCTGAGACTGAGCCTGAAAATAGATGTCGAAGGCCCAATTTTAATTACAAAATGGCCCTCGCACGTGAACACAGGAGCTACACCCGAACGAACTAGGGTTTAGGACGCGTACAAATATCAGTGGAAACGCCTCTTCTCTAGAGAGATCTTGTGCAAATCGAGAACAAAGCCCTAACCCAATATGAGAGCCAAGGTAAATTTCCTCTTCGTCTTCAATTAATCTCTCGTTTCCGTGATTTTTTTTCTTTATTTCTGTTTCATTCTTCAAGTATATAAATTCCGTCTTGCGGTTGCAAATTAGTTTGTTTCTACTTTTGGAGTTTTTACTTTTTTAGATTTCGTACAAGTTTAGGGTTTTATAATTCGATGTATGATCTGTTATCTATATGCAAAAGAAAGTGGAACCTAAATGGGATATTTGTGATATTGGCTGGAGTGGATTATAGAGTCTGGAGTGTGTTTGATCATTATTATTTTGTTAGTCCGAATCCACTAGTTTTAATTGCTGGTAAAGTAGACGGATATAATATAAGACGACTGGGTGAAGTTGAGAGGTTATTGAGTTGAAACAGAAAAAATGAGGAAAGCTGGCGGGAGAAGCCTTCAGCTTAGGTGAATTATATTTTAACATGGATTGTTATATGGCTTATCGGTTTGGAAAGTGCTTATGTTTTGATTGGCATTTATTGCTTCTTTCTTTCTTTTGGATATCAGTTTTGCAAAGTAACTGAGATGAAGTGCAATGAGGAAATTAATTTGTTTGCCTAGAAATGAATGTCATTTGATACGCAACTCATGCTAAAATTCTTGAGCAAATTCTTGCCTAAAACGTAATTTTTTTTACTATTCTGGTGATTTGAAGAAAACTTTGTATATTTCACCCTTTGATCTGGTTGATAAAGGATACGAATTTGTTTTACTTGTCATAAAAATGGAGTGTTTTGGCTTAAATTAAGAGATGTGATGGTTTACCATAATTGTTATTTTATTCATTTAAACTAAATGGAGATGGTAACATTTTAGAATAATCTACTGCGTGAGCCATTTGAAGATAAATGTTTGTCTTATGCTTTTCAGTGGAAGAAGAAGCGTATGAGGAGGCTGAAGAGGAAGCGCCGAAAGATGAGGCAGAGATCCAAGTAGACGCATCTTCCACTGGATTAGTTTTGCCCCGACAACCCCTCTTCTTCATGATTATCAAGCATATGTTGCCTGAAGTTGTTAAGATATAAGGGGTTTTCAGGCAAGCTTATCTGTTTTGTCTTCAAAATCTAGGTTGAAGTTTTAAGACTGAGATGTTGTCTAGTACTATTAGATGTTATGTTGGGATTGTGGTTTGATCTTTGTAAACGGTTATCTTTAGCATCCTGAATATTTGAAATCGGAACTTTTATTATCTTATATGGTCTATAATATATAAGATAGATTGTTGCCATATATATATATATATCCTCAAACACTTAGCAGTGTTGAATTGGTTTGAGGGGGCTAGTTGATCATTTCATATTACAACGATGATACATGATTAAGAAATGTTCTATATGTGAAAAGGGATTAACAACAAAAATGTTGACCAGCTCATTCAATATTAAGCGCCTCAAATACGAGTACTTGTGCTTGAACTTGATTCATCTTCATTCCACCTGTCGTAACCATCTTTCGGTTGGGCTCCGGAATTGGGCTTTGACTTGAAAAATGTGATTGAAGTCGCCACCGATTATTTATTTAAAAAAAATAGGTTAATCGAATACCTTATATCTTACCTGATATGCGTCTTACCAAAGATATGTCGGATTCGGGAGTCGGTTACGGTCAAGGAATGATTAGCACCCTTGAACCGCCCTTTCGGTATTACGTAATTTCCAGTTGTTTTTAATTAAGAAAATCAAAAGTTAAAATTTAAAGGTAACATATGATCCAAAATTACTTACCTCCGATCAATTTGAAAGAGTACCCTTAAAAAGTCGAGAAACGCGTTAAAGGAAAAAGGAAATAAGAGTAAATGAAATAAAGAAAATAGAAGGGAAAAAATAAAAAAAAAATGATGAAAAACTAAAAGATGAATAAAAATATATAATTATTAATTGTAAAATAATAATAATGATAATAAGTAGTAAAATAAAAAAAACGCAATCACACCAAAAGAAATTAAAAAAAGAAAGACAAGGTTTGGTGAAATATAACTGTCGGGAAGGAAAAAAACGATAAGGGGTAGGACCGTAGTTAATAAATGAGTGTGATGTATCCCTATAATATAGTAAGAATGAATAAACAAAAAAAAAACATTATGATATATATATATATATATATATATATATAATAAATATAATAACGAAAAAAAATAATTTAATAAAGTAAAATAATAATAATGTAATATAATATAAATACATGAAAACAAAAAAATAAAGAAGTATAAAATATAAAATATAATTAAATGTATATATGCATATGTTTTAAAAAAAAGTAAAAATAAAAATAAAATACAATAAAAAATATACATATAATGATAATAATAGTAGCAAAAGAGAAAAATATTTATATACGTTAATAGTAAAATAATAATAAATATAATAGTTATAAATATATATATAATAACTTTAAAAACATTAAAATAATATTAGTATAAAAATAATTAATATATATATATATATACTTAATAATACGAATTATCAAAAAGAAATAATTAAAAATATGAAAATAATACATAAAGGACCATTCATCGGCGGCAAACCTCGAAAAAAAAAATTGATTTTTAAAAGCCTTTCCTTCCCTCGTTTTAAATATTCTAGTATTTTTCCAAAACGGCCTCGGGGTTGTGTAGATCTAAAAGAAAAGTTTCGAACGACAACCCCTTTTCCTCGGCCAAAACTGTTTTTTTTCAAGCACAAAGACGAATAACAACACATGCAAGTGAAGAAAAGAATGCGAAAGGTAAAAGCTTTCACCTTTTATTGCTCCTGAATTGTTTACAATAGCTTCAAAACAATCTATTTGCTCGTGTTTTTTTTCCTGATAATTTCGTATGTTTATCGTCTGTTACAATAGTGAGCTACAATGGCTATTTATAGTGCTTGTGGATCCTATCTTTAGGAGTTTAAAACATAGCAGAATTATATCCTATTTTTAGGAGTTTGAATCCTAGTAGGACAAAAAATGTGTGTTGACAGCTGACCCTTTTTGCCCATAGTCGTGTAACGGGGATAGGGAAAAGATTGAAAGACACTTTTCGTTAGGTGGAGTTGAAAATTGACTCTGATGTTTCAATAACTCCCTGTCGAATTGAGTTACGGATGACTCCTCCGTCGTGAAGTCGAGTTCATCTGGAAGCTTCTGAGCACTATATCCTTCGTCGTGAAGTTGGAATCGAACTCAAAGCTTTTGGCGAGTGGCCTTTGAATTGTCTTCTGGATCAAGATACTTCATCGTGAAGGTGAAACTTGACCTGAAGACTTCAGTGTTGATGCGTTACAGATGACTCATTCGTCGTGAAGTTGGGTCAATCTGTTTGTGAAATTGGAATCGTACAGGGCCCCTTCGTCGTGAAGTTGAGCCTGAGAATTGGATATCCTTCGCCATGAAGTTGAAATCCAAATATTGTTCCGAGTCCAATATCCTCTGCTGTGAAGTTGAAATTGGTTCTGGAACCGGGAAATTGTTTGTTGACAGTCAGCCGCCCCTTCGCTGTGAAGTTGAGCTTGTGCTGTCTCGAGTCTAATATCCTTCGCTGTGAAGTTGAAATTGACTCTGAACAAAATCTTGTTGACAATCAGCCGTCCCTTCATTGTGAAGTTGAACTTGTGTTTTCTCGAGTCCAATATCCTTCGCTGTGAAGTTGAAATTGGCTCTGAAATTTGAAAAATTGTTGTTAACAAGCAGCAGTCCCTTCGTCGTGAAGTTGAACTTGCGTTGTCTGGAGTCCAATATCCTTCGTTGTGAAGTTGAAATTGGCTCTGAAATTGAGAAGTTGTTTGTTGACAACCAGCCGTCCCTTCGTTGTGAAGTTGAACTTGTGTTGTCTCGAGTGCCACGATATCCTCCGTCGTGGAGTTGAAATCGCGGATGGCCCCTTCGTTGTGAAGTTGAGCCTTGACTTGAATATCCTTCGTCGTGAAGTTGAAATCCAAGTATTGTATGTTGCGGGTGGACACAATTCCCTTCGCCGTGAAGTTGAAACCGTGGAGACCCCTTTATTGTGAAGTTTGGCTTCGAGCTAGATATCATTCGTCGTGAAGTTGAAATCCATTCTCGAGCAAATCGTGTCATTTTGAGTTCAATATCCTTCGCCGCGAAGTTGAAATTGACTCTAGCTAAAACCTGAAAAAGTTATGCATATATGTGATGCTATGGATGCAATGCTCTTAGGTGTGCCTAAAATGCATATGCAACATATGTTATCTTGGGGCTCTAGAGAGAAATCTCGATCTCCAGTTGCCTGTCTGGAATCTTGATTCATGAATCTTCAAATTTTGATCCCTGATCTTGAATTCTTCAAATGTTCAAATCTGATGTGCACATTCTATTTTTGATTTGAGAAATGCTTCTCGACCATCTCAAGTATGTGCCTGAGCTGAGTGTAACGGTTCAGATGATGCTTCAAAAGAAGTTGTCTTGAAAGAGATAGAATTCGTTTCAAGGGAAACGATCTCAAAGATATCTGTTGTTTCATGAGAAACGGTCTCAAGGGAAACAAAATTATGTTTTAAGGGAAATAAATTTGAAGATTTTGTGTTTCAAGAGTAACTGTCTCAAGGGAGACAAAATTTGTTTTAGGGGAAATAAATTCAAAGATTTTGTTTCAAGGGAAACTGTCTCAAGATAGACGAAAATTGTTTCAAGAGAAACTGTCTCAAGAGAGACAAAACTTAGTTCCAAAAGAAACTGTCTCAAGGGAGACAAAATTTGTTTCAAAGAAAACATATTCAAATATTTTGTTTCAAGGGAAACTGTCTCAAGAGAGACAAAATTTATTTCAAGGGAAACTGTCTCAAGAGAGACAAAATTTTGTTTCAAGAGAAACTATCTCAAGAGAGACGAAATTTATTTCAAGGGAAATGTTTTCAATGTTTATGTTTCAAGAGAAACTGTCTCAAGGGAGACAAAATTTGTTTTAAAAAAGCAATCTCAAGTGAGATAATCATCTGCATTAAATGAGACTGTCTCAAGCGAGACATAATTTATATTGGAAATGTCGAATCTGAAAATGAATGACGATCTTTCTATCTGTCGAGTTGGTTGAAGTGTAGCTTCTTGCTGCTGAGCTAAGCAACCGACATCAATCTGTAAAGGTGCTTTTGAATCGAGTATCCTTCGTCTTGAAGTCGAACTTGACTCTAAAGTTGTAAAATATTATGTACGTGGAAATAAAATGATAGATATGACGCTCTAAAATGTATGCATAAGATGCATATAACATGAATTGGTTATATTTTATCTCTTGAAAAAGGCCTGATAATTCGCATTAGGATGTTGAATCCCCAAAGATGCCAAAAAAAATGCTCCAATATTTCATGTTGAATCTTCAAAGATGCCCCAAATGTTCCTCATTTCTTGCTTCAACATTGATTCTGAGCATGAGTTTTGTGTCTAAGAGTCACATGTCATTTACCAAGATCCACTCTGGAGAGACTGTCTTGTTTGAAAAAAATGTTTTTCTTTCTCTTTTAATATCAATTAAAAGAGTTTCAAAAAATGTTTAATCCCAAGTTTTAAAAATATTGCCCCTTTCACGGTTTTACAATTGAGACAAATCATAAAACTAGAGTTCATTGGATATCAAAGAATTAATTACAATGTTAATCCTTCAATAAATTATAGCTATTTGACAAGTGTCAAGATCAAAGCTATCTTTGAGAGATGGTCAAGTAAGGAAAGGATAAAAAGTCTCAGGTCATTGTGTTTGGTCAAAGGTTTGGCATTTGATGCTCAAAGGATTGATGGGGTAGCTTGCATGCTTCTCTACTGGAAGTGTTCTCTGACTCCCAACCTTCATTGTCACACTCGGATTGTGCGATGCCTTATCAAGGAATTTGTGTGATCGCTTCAGTTGCACAATTTTTATATTCGAGCCGCCTTTCCAGGTTTTCAACTCGAATCCTCCTTTGGTTTCAAGACGTTATTCAGGATTTACGTCTTGAACCCCCCCTTTGTTATTTTTCTCTACCATACATTAATTACATTGTTTTTTTGCAAACAAAGATTAATTCTGATGGGCGGGATGAAATCTGAAGATAGTCTCTTCTGTTTAGAAATCCATGTATGATTAGAAATGACTTTTAAGGCACGTAATGTAGGCCAGGGTTCGTGGTTATGAAAGAAAAGGATAAATAGGCCCAAACAAGTGTTCCAGGGTATTGAACCAAGGATCAATTCATTCTGATGCCATCG